AAATGTGTGATTATACTATGATAATTTATTTTATTTATTTTTTTTTTATTTTTGTAAAATTAATCATTTTAATAATAAAATATATTAAAAAAATATTTTTTATTATATAAATTTTGAGATTAGTGCTTATCCTCTTTATTTTCAAAAAATTAAATGAAAAAAAAAAACAAAAAATACTCTAATTTATGCTTTAAAAATAAAATATTTTAATTTTTTTCAATAAATATTTATTAAAATGACTTAATTTTAAAATAATATTTTTCTTAATTTTTAAAAGATAAAATGAATAAATATTATTCTCACAAATTTATATTAAAAATATATATTAAATGATTTTATTTGAAAAGTAAACAAAAAAAAAAAATAACTGTTGAGTAGAAAAAGACTCACGCCCAGATGCGGTCAAAAATTGGTGTCGTACACAAATCTATCCCCAGAGTCGTCACACAATCCACATCCAAAGCATGCCCTATCTTGTAAATCTCAGCAACACCATTTTTGGATTTGTAATTCAATCTGACATAAAAAGGTTGCTTCTCTCACCTCTTTAGTTTAGCCAATGGTATGATGTAACCTGAGACAAGTCAAAGCGTAAAAGTTGACTTTTGTAGTTAAAATAAGATGGATAAGGAAAAGTTGCTAAAAAAAAGATTATTAAGTGAATGTTACGTAAAGAAAAGTTGGCAAAGAAAATTATAAAGTGAAATTCACGTGTAAAAAACGTTGATAGAGAAAGTTACTTAGATTGTTTGGTTTTGCTTTTTTTATATAATTGATAGTAAATAGTAAATATTTAACTATTAATAATTATTATTTATAATTTAAAATATTTAATTTATTTAATTAGACTCAATCGTTGATAATTCTTTACATTAAGCTAAAGTAAACACACCAATTAAATGAATCTCACAAAAAAAAAAGAAAAAGAAAAAAAAGGTAGGACCAAGTCTTTTTCTTTATAAAAAGATAAAAAAATTTTACAAGTACTTGAGAAGATTATGTTAGAAAATATTAAAACTAAAAATGTTACTTAATTTTATCTTTTATTTATTATAATTTTAATGTATATAAATATCAAAATACCCATACAAAATTTTGAAAAAATATTTCTAGAAAAGATATACCAAACGTCCTCTATAAAAAGGCCCAAAGTCAATTTCTGTGTGTCCTCTAAAACGTTCTCATTTATGTTTCTTTCAGATCACATGTTTGACATTTTGTGGACAACCTGGCAAATAATTCCGTTGCAGAAAAATAGATTTTTAGCTTTATAATTTTTAAATGTCATTAATTAAAAGATATATACAAATTATATATCTTAATAAAATAAAAAAATTATTCATTAAATTATACATAAAGTTATATAAAAAATTTATATATATGATAAAAATTATCTCTAAATCAATTTTTTTAAGGAAAATGATTCATGCACACCACTAATCAACACCCGGCTCATTACACAAGCGTTTCAAATGGAAAATTTAACGTTTTATTTGAGTATATACTTACCCTAACTTATTCTGAATAGTTGAAAACATGCTTTCTCAAACATAGTAAATGCCCTTGTCTTTTTTCTGATGCTTGCTCTACTTCTTTTGCTAGTCATCTTCCTAGACTCATCGTCTTGACCATTACTCCTGTTATGCTAGGGTAGTTAATGGAGAGATACTGTTCATCTTCTCCAATTTTCTTTTTATTAAAGTTAAAATTAAGA